CTTAGATAGTTCATATAAATGGAATCATACAGCATTTGTTCGTGTCTGGTTTATGTTGCTTAGCATGTTTTCAAGATTTATCCATTTCATTAATCTCAATGTGGTTTTGACGTATTTCCCTAGTGACCAATGGATGATGAGTTTTTGTTTATTGTGCATTTGTATAGCTTTTTGGAGAAATGTATATTTCAGTGCTTTGTCTATTTTTAAATTGGGTTTTAAAAATTGAGCTTTACAAGTTCTTTACGAATTCTAAACATTAAACCCTTAGCAAATATATGTACAACTTTCCCCATTCTTCAGATTGTCTTTTCTTTGTAACGTTCTTTGATGTACAATTTTAAAAACTTTCTAATCAACTTATCTTTCATTATTTGTGTTTTTAGGGCCATATGTTAAGAATCCACTGCCAAATTAAGTTGAGATTTACCCCTATATTTTTTTCTTTTTGGTACTGGGGATTGAATTTGGGTCCCTGTGCTTACAAGGCAGGTGGCAGAACCACTGAGCTAAATCCCCAGTCCATCCCCTATACTTTCTTTGGAGTTTATGGATTTAACTCATCTAAGTCATTGATTCATTTTCAATTTTTTGTGCACAGTGTGAAGCAGGGGTCCAACTTCATTTGTGGGCATGTGAAAATCCTGCTAATGGCACCATCTGGTGAGGACAGTATTCTTTGCGCCATTGAATGGACTTGGTACTCTTGTCAAAAATAACCTGGACAGATTTTTTTTTTTCTGCACTCTGAATTTTCTCTTTTCTCTGTCTGTCCTTATGCCAGTATCACACTGATTTGATTATTGTACTATGGTAGTAAGTTTTAAAATTGCTAAGCATGGGCCCTGCAACCTTGCTTTTTCAATACTGCTTTGGCTACTTGGGTCCCCCTGAAATGTCATATCAACTGGATGACTCCTCAAAAAGCAAACACAAACAAAAATGGTTGCAACTTTGGTGGAGACTATGTAGGTTGTTTTGGATAGTTTTGACATCTTTCCCCAGCCTTAAATTTTTGAGAATTTTTAATTATCTAGAGGAAAGCATGCACACATACACACAAACTCTCTTTCAAATGAGACAAGATCTTGTTAAGTTGCTCAGGCTGGCTTTAAACTTGCAATCCTTTGGCATCAGCCTCATGAGTAGCTAGGAGTACAGGCACATGACACTATACTACTTTCAGTCTTTTACCATTATTGTATTAGCTGTGAGTTTTTCCTAAGTGTCCTTTATCATGCTGAAGAAGTAGCCTTCTATTCCTAGTTTGTTTTTAGATAAAAATTGAAGGCTGGGGATTTAGTTCAGTCGTTCTGCCCCCTGCCTTGCAAGCGCAAGGACCCGAGTTCCATTCCTGGTACCAAAAAGAAAAAAAAAAAGTAGGAGTGTCTTTGTCATGTTAACTATCTTTTCTACATCTATTGATAGTAATGTGAGTGCCCCCCCCCCAGTGTTCTAACAATATTACATTGATTTTCTTATGCTGAACTACCTTTGCATTCCTGGGGGTTCTTAGCAGTGGCTCATTAATTTCCATCTTCTTGGTGACTAATACTCAGCATCTTTTCATGAGCTCATTAGCCATTCACATATTCTATTATATAGTCTTTAGCATTTTAAAGTTATTTGTCAAAATGTTGACTTGCATGAGATCTCTATTCTGGATATGTCTTTTCCATATAAATGTGTTGTATTTTCTCCCAAGTGTTAGCTTGCTTTTTTATTTTCCTAGCCCTGTCCTTTGGAAAGCATGTTTTAAAAGTCTAGTTTACTGATTTTTTTCCTTTTATAGTTTGTGTTCTAAAAAATGTTTACTCAAAGGTTACAATGATTTTCTCCTATATTTTCTAGCTGTTTTTTATACTTATATCCATGCTTCAAAATTTTGCCATGTGTGAGGTAGTCTACCTTCATTTCTCAGTTGGATATGCAGTTTTCCCCAGCATTATCTGCTGAAAGACTTCTTTCCCCCTTTGAATTGTTTTGATTCCTTTGTAGATCATTTGAATGTATGCATGTAGTTCTATTTCTGGACTATCTTTTCACTATACTAGTTTGATTATTGTAGCATTACATCTTCAAAACAGGAAATAGAAGTTTTCCAATTTTGTTCTTACTTCTAGGTCACTTGCATTTCCCCATTTTTAAAATTAAACAGTATCTAAAAATTTCTGTAATTTTGGTTGGAATTGTGTCTCATCTTCAGATTGACTTGGAGAAAACTGCTCACAATACTGAGTTTTCCACTTCATGGACAGAATTTATTTTTTCATTTATTCAGCTTTTCTCTTTCAGCAATGTCTTATCAACTTCAGTATACAGGTTTTGCCACCTATTTTGTTAAATTTGTCCATTTCATATTTTTGCTCCTAAAACTGCTGTTTTAAATGAAAAAATTTCTTGTAAATTCATTTTATTTTCCAATGGTCCATTAAGTTTGCAGGAAAAAAAAGTTTGCAGAAAAACTACTAAATTTTTGTATATTGATCCTGTAACCTTGCTAAACTCACTTATTCTAGTTGCATTTTGTCAAGTTTTGGGATTCTCTTCATAAACAATTTTGTCATGGTAAGTTGTGTTTCTCACTGGGATCTCTTTTTCTGCTACAGGACCCAGTATAATGTTGAATAGAAATGATCCTTGCCTGGGCTGGGGATTTAGCTCAGTGGTTCCAATGCCTGCCTCATAAGCGCAAGGACCTGAGTTTGATCCCTGGTATGAGGAGAGGAGAGGGGAGGGTAGGGGAGAAATGGTCCTTGGCAGGGCTGGGGATTTAGCTCAGTGGCCCTGCACCTGCCTTGTAAGTGCAAGGTTCTGAGTTCAATCCCTGGTACAGGATGTGTGTGTGGTGTGTGGTCCCTGCCTTTTTCCTGATCTTAGGAAGAAAATCTCTTGGTCCTTCCCCACTAAATATTTACCATTAGCTTTTAAGTTTCTCATTAATGGAAGAAAATCTCTTAGTCTTTCTCCACTAAATATTTACTATAAGCTGTAAGTTTCTCATAAATGCCTTTATCAAATTGAGAACGTTGACTTCTAGTTCCAGTTTGCTGTTTTTAATATGAAAGGAACATTAAATTGCTGTATATTGATATGATCACAAGGGCCGGGCGTGGTGGTGCACGCCTGTAATCCCAGCACTCAGGAGGCTGAGGCAGGAGGATCACTGTGAGTTCGAGACCAGCCCGGGCTACATAGTGAGTTCCAGGTCAGTCTCAACTACATAGTGAGACCCTGTCTCAACCCCCCACCAAAAAAAGAAAAGAGATATGATCACAAGGATTTTTAAGATAATTACACTGAATGTAAAATATTAAACTCACTGTATTCTTGGGATAAATTTCATTTAAACATGTATTACTTTTTACATATTTTCAGAATTGATGTGCTAAAGTATTATTTAGTTTAAAAAAATCTGTGTGCATGTGTTTGTGAGGGGTGTTAGGCATCAAATCAAGGGCCTTGTGCATCCTAGGCAAGCATTCTACCATTGAGCTACATTCCCAGCTCCTAAGGAATTTTGTGTTTGTTTATTGTGTTTTGGTATATAGCAATTCAGGTCTCATGAAGAGAACAGTAGTCTTTTTTTGTTTTTTTTTTTGAGACAGGGTCTCACTATGTAGTTGAGACTGAACTGGAACTCACTATGTAGTCCAGGCTGGTCTCAACTCAGTGATCCTCCTGCCTCAGCCTCCCAAGTGATGGGATTACAGGAGTGAGCCACCACACTCGGCAGTAGTCTCTCCTTTTGAAAAGAGTAACTTGCAGGTAGGATGGGTGTTATATTTTACTGAAATGACGGACCAAACTTACCTGGATTGTTTTTTGGTGAGAAAATTTTCAATTCAGGGTAATTCAGACTTTCTATTTTGAGGAAGGCTCCTGCAAAGATGATTGCCACTGCTGGAAAACCTGCCATCTATTAATGCTAGAAGTGCTAACTAGAAACGAAAAGCACTAATTACTACAGCTTTGGCTGTGAGGAAAGAGTCCTCTCAAGTTTCCTATCGTGTTGCCACGCAGGTGACCTACACAGGACTTCTTTTATTCCTAATAGTGCATGACACACGAGTGGAAAGAATGAGCTTGGGCTGGGAATGTAGCTCAGTGGTCCAGCACCTGCCTGGCAAGTACGAGGCCCTGAATTTGATTCCCAGTACCAAAAAGGAAAAGCGAAAAAAAAAAAAAGCTTGAGTTTCCACTGCCACGAGTAATATGCTCTTCAGTTTCTTTTGTTTTCCCTCTTTGCAAATACCTTTCCCTTACCAGATGCTAACTCCCTTAAGTGGGTACCATGCCTTGTTCCTGCAGCCTCAGTGCAAGGCACACTGCAGGCATTCCAGTATCTGTGAAGGTACAGACAGCGACAAACACTATTGTTCATGGTTCTGCACTGATCTCAGGGTAACAGACACGAGGCTATGTTCAGGAGTGACTCTTCTCTGATCAGAGAAAACAGATGACTGTAATCTGACTGTAATTACTGTACCTTGCCTTTCAGTAGCCTAAACCAAGGGAGCTTTACTGTAAGAATTCCACGAGGACTATCTTACTGTTGCTTTTAGAAGGTCAGGATATAAGACTCAGTAAATGCTCATCTTTGATGTTATTAAGACAGTAGATGACATGAGAATTTGTGTCACAAATCCCAGATTCATCTTTTCTTTTTAAGATGTTGCTGTTGCTCACATTTTTGCTATGCTGCCCAAGTGGTTCTTAAATTTCTGGGCTCAAGTGATCCTCCTGGCTCAGCCTCGCTGAGCCTCATTCTTATCCTTTTTGAAGATGAAGGCAAAACTATAGGATAAAAAGATACAAAGTATAATAGGTTTGGGGGACATTAGAGTTGGACTTGAGGGATATATCTTCACTTTGCTAGGCACTAAGTGAATATTAAAGCACTACAAACACTGTAGAAAGTATTACACAAATATGATTTAATAGGGCCAAGGATTTAGCTCAGTGCTATTGCTGCCTGCTTTGCAAGCACAAGGTCCTGAGTTCGATACCCAGTACCCCCCCAAAAAGAGTTAATAATAATTGAGCCCAAAGAAATGATTCAGTTTCTCTTTGTAGTGGGAACAGGTCAGCAAAACAATTAAGAGCTAAAGAATTTCTTTGCTCTTTTCTACTTTTTCTTCTTAACTCCTACCATTTCCTCCCTTCTACTCTTGTTCTATATCTTCCTGCCATTCGAGCGAGATTAAACTCATACCTGTCTTTAGAAAAAAGGCCCACTTTCAAATTTAAAATTCTCTGCATATCTACTACACAAATTCATAGCTTGAGAAAGTAAACCTCCCAGAGGATTTTGATTTTCCAATCTAAAATAATGTATTTTTAGAATGAATTTCAGCTCTCATGCCAGGCAGATGGAGGAGGTATTTTAGGAGGGGAGCTTTTACTTAGGACCTATTAGTTTCCCAAATAGATGGCTATCTACTTGGGGTCAGAACAATTCCTGAAATTACTTTTGCTTTAAAGCAATTTTTTTCAATACGTAGAAGTTCAAATAATTACTAAGACACTTTGTTGGTACAGACTTTAAATTACAAGCTTGATTTGATACCCTCAAATACAGTTCTTAAGGAAGATGAATTACAAATAGTTTTCAGTACTTTGAAGGGAGAAGAAATTACATTTTGGTAAAACGGGATGAATATTTTTATGCGTGAGTTAACAATCCTTTCATCACCAGGTGGAATTACTCCAATTCATGCAATAAGTGACTATTATGTACTGTGCTCTTGAGTTCAAATCACTGTCCCCTGATGTGATGTGTTCACCCATGGCCTCTGAAACACAGCCAGGCCCCCGATCAGCAAGGCCTCACCTCCATTCTTCCATTCCAACGTGAAGCTTCCCAGGAAATCTTGGGTTTCAGAAAAATTGGCTAGGTGGTATATAGATAAATATACACGGTATATAGAGATTATACACGACTGACAGTAAGCAGGAGGGAGATTGTAACTTCTTGACATAAAATAATTAGAAAAAAGGGTTACTAAATTCTTGCAACTAGAAATTATGAGGGTAAAGCAGAAAAAGTTTGATATAATGAGGAGGCCCACAGTAGAACTTGTGAGGGTCTTTTATAGAACCACTTAAGATAGTACGGTGGGACATGTTACATATTTTACATACAGTTTGAGTACAAATTCTTAAAATTTATAATAGAACATTAAAATAATCTTCTAATAAAATCAGCCTTAAGTATAAGGAATCTAAATTTCATTGTCTTGTACATTCTAAATAAATATCTTTGATCTACAACCATTGAAAATATTAGTTTATGGTGACATGATAGAGACAAGTAAAACAGTATTATTATAAGCAAAATGAAACATCAATTTCAAAATAATCCTAAAAACACACTGAACTGAAATTATAGAAAATCAAAATACTACGTACATAATAATTAAATATCTAGCATTGGGATAACCAAATACATGCTCAGCAAAACACTTTCAACTTATATAAAAAGACCTTTAAATTTTATATATCTAGATAAATAAGCAAAAGCACAAAGGGAGATACTGTACCAGCCAGTAACAACTAGAAGTCATTGCCTGCCTTTTTCTTTCAAATGAACCTAATAGAAAAACAGGAAGTAATGATCACTTGCTAAAAAACTATAATTCATGGTTTTTTTAAAATGCTGTCTACAATATAAAAAAGTCAAAGCAAGGCTTCCCAGATATTAGACCGCTATTCCTTAAAAAAGGAAAGGCCACCTAACTGACAGATTTAAACAAAAACTAGACAATTGCCTATTTAAGGTATAAATGAATTTCTGTTTAATGACCCACTCTGTGGTCTAAATCGAGCCCATGATATGAATGCACAATCAAAACAGCTGAATGCATGATCTGCGAATACTGAATTATATACGATGATTTACGTTCACTTGCCAAAGTATTGGTTTACTTTACATAAAACCAGAATTAAAACCTATATGGCAGGAATTATATCTTATTTATGTTCATATTCTGGCTTCTAGATTCTGAGCATAACAGGTGCTCAAGTGTTTGCAGAATTGAGTCTAGCATCCATCACTTCAGGAAGCACTGAATGAATTAAAACCTATATGGCAGGAATTATATCTTATTTATGTTCATATTCTGGCTTCTAGATTCTCAGAGCATAACAGGTGCTCAAGCGTTTGCAGAATTGAGTCCAGCATCCATCACTTCAGGAAGCACTGAGTCCATGACGGAACTGTGGTCCAAGACTCAGGGAGAGTTCTTTAATTTGCCTTTAGGCCTGTGATTAATTTCTTGCTACCCAATCAAGTTAAATGCCACATATCTGTACAGTTATTCGTGTCAGGGCCAACATTTCCATAATTCATCTATTCTACAATTAAGCTTTCTTCAAAGATTTTTTCTGCACATCATAGCAAAGTTAAAAGAATAAAGATAATCTTTGTTATTCTTTATCGGACATTTGCTCCAGATAATTGCTTAAAGCACTCAAATACAGAAAAGGAGAACAGAAATTGGAAACAATGCAAGAAACCTAAATGACATAGCTTTCAAAATTAACTAAAAATAACACTGAAATCATTAAGTTAACCACTGTTGGTTTGCGTGATGGCTGAAGCAATTTCTAAGGACTGAGAGATGTAAACCACAAGTGTCCTTCCACTTTTAGCTTGACAAAGTAGCTAAAAATAGTGTGTTTCCAAGACCGCCCTGCATATTCTGCTCAGTGTGCTCATCACACTGGGAAGTAGTGAGGAAGAGATGAATACACTTGCCTCCCCAAAGACCACTCCCGCAGTCCACAATGCTTAGATCAATATTTGCCTTATTATGTGGGTTATTCTGAGAAAGTTCCTCAGAACTTCGGTTTGCCACTTAAAAAGTGGCTGTTTCTGATGTCCTTGCTGGGGGGAAGGGGGAATGTTTCAGAACTCCTGAAATAAAAGCTGCTGAGAAAGTTTCACATCTTTCACTCTCACTGCCAACATGCCTGTCCGCTTGAATGGCGCTAGGAGAGGTAGACCCAGTGTTTAAGTTCTGCCATTCCCTGCAGGAGCTTCGTGTAATAGAAATCCACGTTGTCTGCAAAGTCTGTGCAAACAGGTGACTCCATGTCCCCCACAGTGCAGTATAATGCAGTTCCTCCAACACTAAGGAAAACTGTTGCTATGCACAGCAAGATCAATAAAATACAGGAGCCACCTCCGACTTCATCTGCAAACATGAGAAGAGAGAGAGGTTAGATTTTCATCAAAATGGAAACCCCAGTATCTGCTCTCTTCTCGCTGGTAATGGACTGCTTATAATATTAGTCCTTGAGGTCAGGACACACAGCCAGAGAACATGTGCTGTCAACGACTCAGCAAAGATCCGCACATCAGTTACTACAAAGATTCACATCGGCAAAGTCTGTGAATGCTAAAATCAGAACCAGCCACTTTGTACAATGCGTATCACTTCCACGAGAAAGAAGAAAATGGCAGCACGCCTCTAACATGTGCATGGTATTATTTTAGCACACCATTATAGCCTCAATATTACAGTATCTTGGGAGTTCACATTATGGGACTACCTTAAATAAAGTCAATTTTATATTCAAGAATAAAAATGCTCTCCGTGGTGGATCTCAAGTATTTTTACTTAGGGCAATAGTGAAGTTTTGGTAGCATACTGATTTCTTTTAATTTTGCTTAGCAACTCTGGGAGGTTTGTCTTTATAAAAAATCCATCCACATCAGTCTTTCTATACTGAGGAAGATAACTGTTCTTTGGTTGGAAATTTCAATGATCACTCATAATTAAAGAAAAATAAAAAACATTTTAGAAAGGCTAAATAGTTTTATGACCTGCAGCACAAGGAGGGTGTGTGGACTTTAGGGAAAGTAACTTGGCAACATCTATCAAAATTTAAAATGAATTTATGCTCCAGACTGACACTTTAGATACACTGTTAAATTGAGTGCAACACTGAGACAAACAGGTACGAGCCAGGACTGTCTCAGGCCTGCTAGGACCTGTCATCTTCATGTTTAGCACAGCAAGTCCACTTTTAGGAACTGTTCTACAGAGTTCTGCAACACACAAAATTGTATCTATAAGCTTAGTAACTGCAGCAGTTTGTTATAACAAAAATCTAGGTAGGAATAACCCAGTTAGTCCAGTTATAGTGGAATAGTTTGATTATGTTACATTTATATAATGGAACACTATACAATCATTTAACAAAACGAAGTACATTTAATGTTATCTCACAGAATAATGTAGATAATTCTTGATCACATTTAAAAAATAAGTTATCTGATAGTATAAGGAACTCATTTGTGTTTAAAAAACAAGACATGTTTGTCAGTGTGTGTACACAAAGATATGCACACATACACACAGAACACATCTTAAGAGAGTAAAAAACTTCACCCAGTATTTAGGGAAGGAGAATGTAAGAGCTGTGGGACTTATACCTTTCATTTTATATTACTGTCTGAATTCTTTTGTGATTAGCATATAGTATTTTTTATGATAAGAAACATTTTATAAAACCTAATCTCTACAAATAGACCTTATTTAGAAGCTTTTTTTTTTTTTTTTTGGTACCGAGGATCAAGCTCAGGACATTCCACTTGCCAGGCAGGCACAGCACCAGAGCTACCTCGGCCCCTTGAAGTTTTTACAGTAATATATATATAAATAATATAATATATATATAAATAATAAAGTCCCCTTGAAAAAATTCAAGCACAAAAGTATCTAAGAATCTAATTCTACCATTCCAGAGGTAAACACTGTTAAAGTTGGCGTATAACCTTCCAGATCAAACATAAATGATTTCAGGACTTTTAAACAAATGCAATTATATACTCATATGGCTCTGTGATAGATAAAGAAGAAATCACTGCAGAGAACACACTTAATAAAGTCCCCTTGAAAAAATTCAAGCACAAAAGTATCTAAGAATCTAATTCTACCATTCCAGAGGTAAACACTGTTAAAGTTGGCGTATAACCTTCCAGATCAAACATAAATGATTTCAGGACTTTTAAACAAATGCAATTATATACTCATATGGCTCTGTGATAGATAAAGAAGAAATCACTGCAGAGAACACACTTGCAATTCATAAATATTCTATCATAAAGGAAGAATATTAGCTGGCCACTGAAAATAAAACAAAAACAGCAAAGTCATTTTTTTTTTTTGTACTGGGGATCAAACTTGGGCCCCTTGTGCTTGAGAGGCAGGCACCAGAACCACTGAGCTAAAGCCCTGGCCCAGCAAACTCACTTTTAAAAAAGAACTACTATCGTAAGAAACAAATGAGCTCTCCACATTGAGGACTATTACATTTTGTGCTTGAGAGGCAGGCACCAGAACCACTGAGCTAAAGCCCTGGCCCAGCAAACTCACTTTTTAAAAAAGAACTACTATCGTAAGAAACAAATGAGCTCTCCACATTGAGGACTATTACACAGGTTGACCATAAGATGAATTTTGCAACTTGATCACTTAATGCTTTAAAATAAATTTAAGATGATGAGCTGGGTGTGGTGGCGCACGCCTGTAATCCCAGCATTCGGGAGGCTGAGGCAGGAGGATCGCTGTGAGTTTGAGACCAGCCTGGGCTACATAGTGAGTTCCAGCTCAGTCTCAACTACATAGTGAGACCCTGTCTCAAAAAACCAAAAAAAAAAAAAAAAATTAAGATGATTTTTTTTTATGTTTCCTTCTGAGACAATAAAGCGACCAAATTCATATGTTCTTTTGCAAATCATGTTAATAAACAATCATATCGTAGTTTCAGCCTTCCAGAGTACTGAACAATTTATTCATTCAGCAAACTGTTAGGTGCAGGGCTGATCAGTTTACCTTGATCCAAATTATCATCTATTTCTTGGAATCTTACTCTTCGCTTAGATGGTTTCTGCTGCATTTGGGCAGGATGATCTCCTACAGAATCATTCCTCTTCTTTAATATAGATACCAGTCCTTCAGCAGGAACAACCTGTCGGAACCAGTTGTTGTGTTAAGGTGGGACATTCCAATGATATTTTACATGTAACTGCAAAAAGAGGCTAATTCAACAGAGAACTTGAATCTTATAAATATACCCAATTCTTTTTTTTTTTTTTTGGTTTTTTGAGACAGGGTCTCACTGTGTAGTTGAGACTGACCTGGAGCTCACTATGTAGCCCAGGCTGGTCTCGAACTCACAGCAATCCTCCTGCCTCAGCCTCCTGAGTGCTGAGATTACAGGCATGCGCCACTAAACCCGGCCCCAATTCTTATTTTTAAAAAATCACAATTTAAGCCTAACTTTCACTTCCATGCAGGTGACTGACAAATACAGAAGTTTAAACCCACAACTTCTTTTCTCGACCCTGAACTGCCCAGGATCAGGTAGTATGAGCAGGGTGCAGCAGACTGGATACCAGAAGACTTCCCTTAACTACCTTGCTTTGTAGCAGAACTTCCCCAGTTATGTGTAAAATGATCACTTACAGCCTGTCTTGCTTTTAGTGCTGGGTTTATTTTTATAAATAACATTTAATGGGACACAAGTCAAGGTCTTCATCTATGCATCGTGAAGGGCTGCTTTGGGCTAGAATGGCAGGAATGAGTAATTTCAATAGGCCACAAAGCCGAGCGTAATGACAGTCTGACCCTCATGGAAGTTTGCTGTCCAACACCTCCTCAGCCCCCGACTTCTAGTCCTCTCTATCCTGCCTTCTAGGTTTCACTTGGGCTACTTCTTTCCTCCCTATGCCCTACTTATCGAAAAGTAAAAACAAAACCCTTTGCCATTCAGCTGCTAAACGACTCCAAGGTGGGAAACAGTCACTCACAGAAGGTGACTTGTGAGCGGCCAGCTGACTTCAAGCTAGAGATGATGACGCAGACGGGCACTGTGGGCCTGGCACTGTGGATGACGGTGACTTGGCTCAGATCACTAAGGTGAGGACTGACTGTCAGGTCTTTTACCTCATCAATGCATAAAATACTTAATGTGAATTTCAGTTCAGTCAGTAATCTCTGATAATGTGCCATGTAGAAGTATTATAGATTCTATTAGCTCTTTTTATAACTCAGGGCTTTTAGGGCCAAATAATTACAGATAGTTTGCTCCTTAGCTTCTCTGAACACGGATCTAGAGAAACCATTATCCAAAAAACAAACAAAAAATCAATAAGCCAGCAATTTATTCTTTTTATAGGAAATACATAATTCAGGTGTCCTTGTTCTGAGGAAAAAATAAAGTACTTTAGTAACAGTAAAATGGCAAGAACAGATATGTAAAGAATAGTCTTTTAAATCTCTCTTTAGAAAGCAACAACATCAACAACTCTTTCATACAACAGGGAGCAATGACTGCAAGCACCTTGCTGAAACTGAGAAGGAACAAAAACCTAGTAAGCTTCTAAAGCAAGAGATGGAAAACAAAATTTTAATGAATACATAACTACTACTACTAAAGATGTATCAGTATACCCTATTTTTATTAATTGTTACAAGGGAGAAGGGGCTCATAGATTCACTCAATATTTTCTCCATAAATTAAAGTCATACACTTACTAACAGTGAAGTCACCTGCCACAGGAGTTTTGTTTGTCTGAGATGAGGTTTGACTACGTTGCCCATGTTGGTCCTAAATCCAAGACTCACGCAGTTTTTACCTCAGCCTCCACAGAGCAGCTGGGACTACAGGCACATGCCACTGGACCAGTCACCATGGAAGGTTTTTGTTTTCTGGGTTTTTTCAGTGATAAGGATAGACCCTTGGCCCTTGTACGTGCCTGAGTAAGGTGCTGGGATTTTGTTTGTTTTATAATACTGAGGATCAAACTCAGGAGTGCTCTACCACTGAGCTACATCCTTAGCCCTTTTTATTTGTGAGACAGGGTCTTGCTAAGTTGCTCAGGCTGCTCTTGAACTTGTGATCCTCCTGCTTCAGCTGTCTGAGTAACTGGGACTACAGGTGTGTACCACCGCACCCAGCTTCAAGTGCCATTTTAACTTAGGGAAAAAAGTCCTATCAAGAGTAGTTCTAAGAATGAGCCCCAGAATGGCATTACTACTAATCTTTGTGATAGGAATTTTGAGTCTATAAATTCAAGAAACAAATGCAAGTAATAAATCAAATAATATTGCAAGTACAAATAAGTGAATGCTGATAGAAGCTCCTGAAGTCCTCTGGAAAGGCACAGAATGTGCCACTTGGGCTGCACTTGGGTCCCTGCCTTGGCTCATGTTCAGCCTTGTGTTTGGTTTTAGAAGCCCCACTGTTAAGGGACATGAGCCTTATCAGGTGATTCCATCTTATTTGCTAAGGTAGTGATGAGCTTGGACAGTTTTTTGAAAGCAGACACAAAGAGACAATATGATAAATTATAGTTGTGGATGTATCAACATTTTATTTTGATCCCTCTTGCCCCTCATGCCTTAATTCTTGGATAAAATTCTAAGTTCACTGCCTTCTTTCCCCCATTCAAAATCTTTGTTTCAAGGAAGCCTGCTCCAGTGCCTGAAGTAAAGGACTGTGCTCTTTTCTGTTAGCCCTCTGTCTTACTTATGGATCTTTTCTAGGTCTTTCTTTTACAACTGCCTTCTGGTCCTGTAGCTCTCGGGTGGAGAACAAGAGACAATGGGTCCAAGCTGAGGAGCACAGGAGACGCCAGTCAAGGGGGAAACTCTTCAGTCAGGAGGTGTGACTCACAGGGTTTGTCCTTTCTTGTTTTTGTAATGGCTTAGAGCAGAGGTCCTGGACCTACACCTAAAACCAAAGTCCTACTTAACTACTTCAGGGCACTAGGATGAAAACAGCAAGAAATGATGGTGGGTGGGGTTTGCCTTCATTCCACAGTTGAAGAGCAAGTAAACAAAGTGAGGGGGGGGCGGTCAGTGTTGGTAGTTCCGGCATCACTAAAAGCTAGGGGTTTCTAAATAGATTGGGCAACCGATTTAGAACACATAGCAATGTGTCTACTTCAAATTGTTCTTTAAAGGCCATGTCTTTGCATTTGATATCATAATGTCAGTAGGAAAAGATGAATAATTTCACAAGATTGTGGGGACTCACACTGCAGTCTTAGCACTCTCAGAGGCTGAGGCTGAAGGATTTCAAGTCTGAACTCAGCCCAGGCAACTTAGTGACTTAGTGAAATTGTTTCCAAATTAAAAATAAACAAAGGTCTGGGGATGTAACTCAACACGAAAGCCCTGGGTTCAATCCCTGGTATCAAAAAAGATGAAGAATTTTTAATTAGGTAACTATTCTTTGGTGCTAGGGATTGAAGGCAGGGCCTGGTGTATGCTAGAAAAGATGAAGATTTTTAAAATTTTGAAAATACAGCTTTTAAACTACATTTAATTTCCCAATTCAATTAGCAAATTGCTCTCATACCCAAACACGATATACCAAGTCCTTCTACTGAAGACAAAAAGAATGGCTGGGTTATAATTAAAGTAATTGTTACTGGTGACACTCTTATGAATAAATGCAGAGCTTAAAAAAAATCCCATCTGGCCTAGACCTCTATATTTGCAAATAAATAGCTTTTCTTGTACTTCCCCTCAGACATCAACCATCTTAAACGCATTTTCAGAATGAACTGGCTATATAAACAAAATTATTTTGCAATTCTACTGGAATTCTTAATATGACAAGGAAAATATTCAGAACACACTGCAATTAGAAGTGCCTCCTGACAGGATTAAAGGAGAAAACAGACACTAAATATTCTTTAATGATACCAGCTTTACTCAATGTAGAACTTCGAGGCTGGTAAATTTTGAATAAGAACACATGCTTGAAAATTAACTTGGCCGGGCGTGGTGGCGCACACTTGTAACCCTAGTACTCAGGAGATGAGGCACAAGGATTGCTGTGAGTTCGAGGCCAGCCTGGGCTACATAATGAGTTTAACGCCAGGAAAAAAAAATGAACTGGAAAATGAACATTCTTAAATCATATCAGCTTATCATAAAAACCTTAAGTGCCAGTGATTTCATCATTTAAGTGCATATCAGATTTATCCCTAGCACGCCTAGCTAAAAAAAAAGGGATAAGCTAGGATGTAACTCAGAGGCTCACTTACTGGGCCTGCACAAGATAGGCTTCGCATTTCATCCCCAGCAATGCCAAAAATATAATAAAGTAAAAACAAGTGAAGGTCTGTGCTCACTGCACTAGCTGTAGGTTCCATAGTAAGTCTGAATGTGCACACTCTGTGTCCTTACGTTCCGTCACATTCAATCTCCGAACCCTGTTTTGCAGGCACCACTAGCCCTACTTTACAAATGGAGAAGCAAAACCTCAAAGAACTTGAGCAACACAATTAAGCTTGTAGTGCCAGTAACTAGCGAAGTTTGAACACAAACTCAAGATTAAACTTCTTGTCATTTCACTAATTGGAAAAGGCCTTATTTTTATTGAGGATTAAAATTTTCTTTGTGTCATATGTTTTTGTTACAACTGAAGTGAGATGAACAGAACTTTCAAATTAGACTAATATTTTTGTCTTTCCAAACTAACTTAGACCTCTACCAGAAATCCTAACCTTACATGTCTCTCCAGTTAAGAGATACTTAAGTAATAAAAAGAGAGACAGATCTCTTGCAAAGGGGAAGGGGACCAAGAGATGGAAGGAGGAAAAGGGTGGGAAGGGGACAGGTATGAAAAAAAGAATTAATTTGTGTTATGTACTTGTACCAACTCCTTATAAGGAATGTAATCATTATGTATTGCAAACATGTAGTAATTTAAAAAAAAAAAAAAGAATGACAGTTAAGAGCTGGCTATAATGCCTATAATCCCAGCTACTCGGGAGGCTGAGGCAAGAGGACCACAAATTCAAGCACAGCCTGGGCAATTTAACAAGGCTTTGTCTCAAAACAAAACTTTAAAAAAGAGCTAAAGATGTAGTTCAGTTATAAAGGGATTGCCTAGCATGCCCTAAGTTTAATTCCCACTACCAATGAGTGTGGGGAACAAGGAGATGCTAATTT